CGGGAGCCGGTCTATATTATTTTGAGTCGGGTTCAGAATATTTGAACCTAGAATTAAATGGCCAAATGAGTTAGTTGGACGAGCCCATGGATTAGCTCGTGGGCAAATTTTTTTTTAATTTTTTTTAATATTTTTATATATTTTTAAATATTTTATATAAAAATTGTATTTTTATAGATATTTAGTTTGTTTTGTTTAAAATTTTAAATTTTTTATTATATTTAAAATATTTTTTAAAATTATATATTTGGCTCGCAGATTGGTTCGTTTGATTCGTTGGTTAAGACGATTTGGGCTGGATTCATCTATTTTTGGTTCGTTAAAAAATGAGATTGACTGAGTTGGACTAAAATATTCTCAGATCGGAATGAGTTGAGTTGGGTTGGATCAGCCTCTTTGACACCCTATCAAATAGTAAAAAATGGATCAAAATTCTTTCTTAATCTTGATTCGATTATTCATTTCAGAAAGGTATACATCTGAATTTCTCTAATCTTTTGACAAATATAGTTCAATCCAAAATATGGTAAATTTATTAATTATAAAAAAGACATAATAAATCAATTTAAAGTTTTATTATTTGATAAACCATAACATATCTCCTCCCCACCTTTTCAGACTTTTTCCTCTCTTAGCAATTTTCTTTTTTTTTTTCTTTTTAAATCGAAATCATGGACAGTTAATCTCTATTTTGAAGGCAAAATATAGTAAAACAATTTGATACTGAATGATTTAATTTCATCCAATCTTCTTTATTCTTTGCTCTTTTTTTACGTGATATTTTTTTCACAATATTAATTAGAGAACGAAACATAATAATCAAATTTTAATATTGGTATTTTAAAAAAATACAATTTACGAAATCATATTTTTTTAATATAGTTTCCAAATGAAGTTCCTATGGCACATTTGCAAATCAATTCCTCTAAAAAAAAATCAGCGAGGGAAAAAGGGAGAAAAAAAAAGAAGCGAATAAGCAGTCGAAACGGGTTCAAGGCTTGCTATTATTGTTTCATAGAATTTTTTTTAAAGCAAAAAATTAAAAAATAAAGGGCATGGGCCATGCGAACGGTGGGCAGGTGTGCTTTCGATTTTATTCCAAAGAAGGAGTCGATGTCTCTAATTATTCTGTGATCGACTCAAGATCCGTTTTTTTTTTCTTTTTATTTTTTTAATTTACAAAAAAAAAACACTAAAAATGATGCAAACAACTTCAACTCTCTCTTCTCTTCGTCTCTCTCTCCCTCCTACGATCCCTCTCAACCACCGCCTCCGTCCCGTCTCCGCCGTGCTCCGCCGTCGTAGTATCCCTCTCCTCCGCCTCCGATATTACGATTCTGCCCTCTCCCCCCGCCTCTGCCTCGCCGCCGGTAGAGTAGACCCCTCGATTGTTTTTCTTTTCCTTTTTCAGAGAATGTACAAGCGTGCCATAATTATTATTAATCTTTGTGTAAAAGCCCGATTAAGATACTTTGTGGGGATGGGCAATTGTGTCAAATGGGTTGAAAAATAGTCTTTAAAACACGATTGGTCAGTTTGGTTTAAGTCGTCGTCTCCTCTGTCTGCTGCCTCTTCCTTAGGTCTGTGTTTGTGTTTGTATCTCACTTGCTTTTTTGGTGTCTTTCCGAGTCGAGTTGAGTAGCGAGTCAGGACTCGGAGTTGCACGCTGAAATGGCTGGTGAAGATGGACAAGACCCCAGAATCCCTAAGATCGCTTCTGCGATTCGAGTTATCCCCAACTTCCCCAAACCAGGTTCCGTTTCGTCGTACTTGAAAAAAGTTTCGTTTTTTCTATGTGGGGTTCTCTTATTTTCGTCTGATTGTTCGGAAATCTCGTTACTTTATGTTCAGTTGCTTTGATTCGTGTTGTAGTGTTAAGGGTTTTGTCCCTGTCAATGGCGGATTTTGCAGGTATCATGTTTCAGGATATAACGACACTTCTTCTGGACACTCGGGCCTTTAGGGACACCATTGATCTGTTCGTCGAGAGGTACAAAGGGAAAGACATCTCTGTTGTTGCAGGTAAGCCATGACTGAGTCTGATCCATAAACATCGGATTTCTCTGTGATACAATCTTCTCAGACATGTCAGTTTTATTACCATTGAGCTTAGTTGTAGAAGATAGGTTCTGGTTCTTTCACTTGCTTTGTATATCACTGCGTAATCTCAAGTCATAACTGTGTCTGGTGCTGGCAAGTCAAAGACAAACTTGTGGGAGTAGCTGATACTGAAAAGTTTTCCTTGAAATTTATTTGGATGATGTATTCGTTTGTAATTCATGCCTACCTTGACTAAATGGCCTCTAAGACTTAGTGTATGAGCTAATATCAGTGGCGAAAATGCAGGTGTCGAAGCTAGAGGTTTCATATTTGGCCCTCCTATTGCTTTGGCCATTGGAGCTAAATTTGTTCCTATGAGGAAGCCCAAAAAGTTACCCGGTATATATCTATCTATATGGTCTATTCTCCTCTCATCAATGGCTTGCTATCTTGCTTTCGTGATCTGCGATCATTATAAAGGCTTTTCCTTCAAATCATCGGTAACGTTATCGTTTATGTTCGTTGAAGGCCCAACACCATTTCTTCAAAGCATAAGTAATATTATCGTTCGGTTCGGTGGGCAAATTATATTC